GCAGGAATGTGCGCATATCTACCCAATTATGCATAGGGGGAGCTTTTAAAGTATGAGTCCTTTCACCGAAAAGAGGCTTAAGGCCATGCTGATGGGAGTGCGTTGAGGATGTGAACATTCCTATAAAGAAAAAGATGTTGAAAAGGACCTAGCTGAAACTTTAGTTGCTAATTCTGGAAATACCTGGGAGCAAAGTAAAGCTCTGGGGTTCACTCATGTTAGGATGCTTCCTCAGGAAGGGAGTCAAATCCACGCTTCCACGTTGAGGAAGAATACTGCTGGGCAGCAAAATCAGCAATGGCGTTGTTTCAACCCTTAAATCTTTAAGATCTCTTTCTTTCCGATTCCAGCCCCACAGCATGATTATTCTACTTTTGAAGTCATTAAAAAACATTTTCCCCCTAAAGCTGTTTTTATTTTAGGAAGTTTTTAGCATCCTGAGTAATGTTAATTAGGGTATTTGAAGGTCTTAATTATCTTAGGAAAACATCAGGCAAGGTTCTAAGCATGTCTGGGCTTTCCCCTATTCAAAGCTACCCTATGTAAAAGATTCAACCCAAGATGCAACTGATGGGCCTTAAAATGCAATTCTTCCAGGAGTAATTTTTGTATTTGTTAATTTACAAATTACAAAGTCATAAGCTTCTTGGATCCCTAATTACTCAGTTTTATAACTAAGAAATAATCACTTCATTTTAAGATCGAAGGGGTATCTCAGGGCCTCTGAGGGTATACATTGTTCTGCCTCTCACTTCAGATGGTTGGGAATTGTGCAACTGAGTACTTGCTGCCCAATTGAAAGAAATGTAAAATTAAGAGTAGCCCTAACTAGTTTGGCTCAGTGGATAGAGTGTTGGCCTGCGAACCCAAGGGTCCCAGGTTCAATTCCGGTCAAGGGCATGTACCTTGGTTTGCGGGCATATCCCCAGTAGGCAGTGTGCAGGAGGCCGCTGATTGATGTTTCTCTCTCATCGATGTTTCTAACTCTCTATCCCTCTCCCTTCCTCTCTGTAAAAAATCAAT